GAATCCACTCAGCTACACAGAACTGGGCTGGTCGTGACCCGCTGTTTTCGAATCTGAATTGCGCTGCTTTGTTGGCTGGAATCTCGGGTTTCTACTAGTTGCGCTTGCCTCTAGTTGGACGGGTTAGGCAGATTTCCCCAACATTTAACAACGCCTTAAACATCTGCCACATTTGTTAAGAATGGCCCATTCACTTTTGGGTCTACGTTGGGAAAAAAACAATTAATGTGCAAGAAATTGCACAAATAATGCGCAAGAATTGCAAATGCCATGAAGTCTGCAGCCTGTCTCTTAACTTCGGAATAAACATTTTAACTATTTTAACTGTAGAAAACGTCATTTGCATTCTATTGAAATATCTCACAGAGCTATACCATTTGATCAGCACATAAAATGAGTTGTTTTAGTATAAAAGAAGTTCCTCTCTTAAATAGCGCCTATGAGACAATTTAAGTTAATTTATGACGAAATAAAATTTCACAGGTAAGAAATTGACATGAAATTTTTCCAGCAAAATTGTTCACGAAAACTTTCCTTGCAAAGTTCCTCCATCGCGCCCCCTCAAAAAAATTATTTTACAAGATAACAATAATAGTGTTACGAATTTGGTATTTAAAAAAAGCTAATGTTAGTTCAATTATAAATTAAATGGTTTTATTTCTCGCGCAGTGCAGCGCGTGACGAATATTAAAAGAAAGCTAAGCCGGAAAAATTAAAATACAAGAGCGCGTGCGTTAAATAATAAATATCTCTTTTGATTTCGAGAAAGTACTGGAAAATTCTAGCGCGTGATTTTAAAATCTTATAAAAGGAGGAAAACATCTCAGTTTGTAGTAGTTGCTTAGTTTGTTGTTGTTTAAAAAACTGCCGTTTGTTGATTATAGCGAATTCGCGGATTAGCGTTCTTTAGCTGTTTTGAATTACGTTTCTATTGTACATTTAAGTAGTTAAAAGTAACTATTGTGAGATATTGTGATACTGCATGATAATTTGAGAAAATTTAAGCATTTCTGTTGTGATAATAATAAATTTTGTTCATTTTTCATCGGACTTGTGCATTCATTTCATAACGAACCCGTACGCACACAACCAATTTTTGGTGTCAGAAGTGGGATGATCGCCGGTATCTATTCTATGTTGTGCAAACTAGTTCGACCCACGTCAGAAGACGAGCGGGAGAAAACAACTTGAAGATCTTTAATGACGCGATCGGCAGCATTCCTCTCTTTATCGTTTAATTGCGCATTCTGCAATAACTCCGATGTAATTCTCTCTGAGGAACGGATTCTTGGATGTTACTCTTTCTTTCAACGGTGGTTACTGGAGTACATGCTGCAACCACTTCACCTTTCCTAATAATTCTCCCCTTCTCAGTTACCTTCAGTAAGTCCATGGGCATCTCCCATCGTCCTAGTCAGAAAGAAAGACGGCTCAACAAGATTTTGCGTCGACTATCGCCGGTTGAATGAGGTTACGAAGAAAGACAGTTACCCTCTTCCTAGAATTGACGACATTCTAGACACTCTTTCTGGCAGCAAGTGGTTCTCAACACTTGATTTAAGAGTGGGTATTGGCAGGTAGAAATACAGCTGAAGACCGAGAAAAGACGGCATTTACTACGGGACAAGGGCTTTGGGCAATTCAAGGTGATGTCGTTTGGACTGTGTTAATGCGCCGGCAACATTCGAACGTCTTATGGAAACTGTTTTGAAAGGCCTTTCCTACGAAGCCTGCCTCATATACCGGACGACATCATCATCGTCGGAAAGAGTTTTGAAGAACATTTAGAAAATCTTAGAAAGGTGCTTCAGAAACTGAAAGAAGCCAATCTGAAGCTAAGTCCCCCGCTAAATGCAAATTGTTCCGAAAGGAAGTGACTTACCTGGGACATGTCATCTCTGCAGAAGGTGTGCGCACGGATCCTGAAAAGGTATCAGCCGTTAAATCCTGGAAACGTCCCGAAAATGTCCATCAGCTGAGAAGCTTCCTAGGGCTTTGCACCTACTATAGGAGATTCGTGAAGGACTATTCTTCCATCGCAAGACCCCTTCACAAGCTGACAGAGAGCAACCAAAAGTGTTGTGGACAAAAGAATGCGACGATGCATTTAACAACTTAAAGGAGGCTTTAACATCTGCTCCAATCCTGACGTATCCTCAGCTTGACCGACCATTTATTCTCGACACCGACGCGAGTAATGAAAGTGTTGGTGCTGTTTTGTCCCAAGAAATAGACGGCCAAGAACGTGTAGTGGCATACTGGAGCAAGTGCCTGTCTAAACCGGAGAGGAATTATTGTGTCACCAGGAAGAGTTGCTCGCCATAGTCAAAGCTGTAGAGCAGTTTCCATCACTTATCTATACGGCCAGAAAATTCCTGCCTCCGCACCGGATCCATGCCTCAATGGCCTGGCTTTTAAATTTCAAGAATCCTGAAGGTCAAATAGCCAGGGGGATACAGAGACTCCAAGAATATGACATCACTATCCGTCATCGTAAGGGATCATCACACGGGAAACGCCGACGCCCTGTCTTAGAAGACCTTGCACAAGAAAGCTGCCGAATATTGTTCCAGGGTGGTTGCGAAATACGAGCTGCTGACTCCGGTCGCAAGACAAATTACAACATCAAACATCGGCTGATCGAAGAACCCGTGGAGTGATGATGAAGGTCAGGAAAGACCAGCTGGAAGACCGACATTAAACCCATAATTGATTTAATGGAATCATCAAACAGAAAACCTATCTGGCAGGACATTTCTATCTGTAGTCCTACAACCAAACAATATTGGGCACTCTGGGATTCACTTCACATTCGAAACGGCGTCTTATACCGGAAATTCGAATCGGATGATGGGAAGACGTTCCGATGGCAACTTATACTTCCAAGATCCCGCATTCCTGATGTCCTTAAAGAGTTACATAGCACCCCTACTGGAGGTCACTTTGGAATAATGAAGACCTTGCAGAGAGTTCGTGAGCGTTTTTACTGGAATAATGCAAAGGATACGTGCAAAAGTGGTGCCGATCTTGCGATGCCTGTGCAGGTCGGAAAGGACCGAGGAGACGCAGCCGAGGCAAGCTGCAACGTTACAACGTAGGGCCGCCTTTTGAACGTATCGCCTTTGACATCCTGGGACCTCTGCCACGAACTGCTGATGGCACAAATACATACTCGTTGTCATGATTACTTCACCAAGTGGCCTGAAGCTTATCCTATTCCTGATCAAGAGGCTGTCACAGTAACTGAGGTAATGATACAGCACTGGATTTCCAGTTTCGGAGTGCCTCTTCAGTTACATTCCGATCAGGGAAGGAATTTTGCCTCGGCAGTAATCAAGAACTATGCAAACTACTCGGCATTGACAAAACTCAAACGACGCCATTGCATCCCCAGTCGGACGGCATGGTAGAGAGGTTCAATCGAACCATCCTTAATAACCTCTCATTAGGTGGTTTCCAGAAACCAACAGGACTGAGACAAGAAATTACCACTCTATTTTTAGTGGAGTTCCGCAGTAGCTGTCCACGAGACTACTCGTTGCTATTCTCCCATCACACTATGCTCTTCGGTCGTGACCTTCGTCTGCCTTGTGATCTCCTGTTTGGCCGCCCTACGGATGCGCCTTCATAGCGTCATGAGGATATAGTTCAAGATCTCCAGGCCCGGTTTGAAGTGATGCACAACTTTTGCACGAGAGCGAGTCAACCTTGGCGACGGAGAAGATGAAGACCCGCTACGACACGAAGAGCTACTGAACATCGAGTTCCAACGAAGGAGACAAGGTGTGGTTTGTGGAATCCGAATCGACGGAAAGGACTTTGTCCGAAATTACAGTCAACCTTGGGATGGCCCGTTATACAGTCCTAAAAAGGCTGAATGACGTCGTGGTTCGGATTCGTAAGTCTTCGAACTCTAAACCTAAAGTCGTTCATTACGACAGGTTAGCTCATTACCATGGCCATAGTACGTAATGTAAATAATTGTAAATAGTATCAGACCATGGTCCTTTTTGTTTATAATGTGTATTTAGTATTTGATTTGTATTTAGTAATTGATTTGCATTTAGTATTTGATTTGTATTTAGTATTTGTTTTGTATTTAGTATTTGATAGCATTTGATTTGTTTAAGTTAGTTATTGCATTTATTGTTTATATTGTTTGATATTGTAATGTAATGTTTATGCCTCAGTTGCATTTATGCCACAGTTGTAAGTTTAGCTTCCTGTCCAGGGATTGTACTGCCCGGGACGTGCAGTCCTTGGGAAGGGGGCAGTGTTACGAATTTGGTATTTAAAAAAAGCTAATGTTAGTTCAATTATAAATTAAATGGTTTTATTTCTCGCGCAGTGCAGCGCGTGACGAATATTAAAAGAAAGCTAAGCCGGAAAAATTAAAAATACAAGAGCGCGTGCGTTAAATAAATAAATATCTCTTTTTGATTTCGAGAAAGTACTGGAAAATTTTAGCGCGTGATTTTAAAATCTTATAAAAGGAGGAAAACATCTCAGTTTGTAGTAGTTGCTTAGTTTGTTGTTGTTTAAAAAACTGCCGTTGTTGATTATAGCGAATTCGCGGATTAGCGTTCTTTAGCTGTTTTGAATTACGTTCTATTGTACATTTAAGTAGTTAAAAGATAACTACTGTGAGATATTGTGATACTGCATGATAATTTGAGAAAATTTAAGCATTTCTGTTGTGATAATAATAAATTTTTGTTCATTTTTCATCGGACTTGTGCATTCATTTCATAACGAACCCGTACGCACACAACAATATCTTATTTTTAGATTCTCAAATATATTGATAATAGTTTAAATTTTTTTTTTTTTTTTTTTTTTGCAAATCTGATTATTTTATCTGAAAAAAATACTAATCAAAAACGTTTTGAGTGATTCTATAGACAGAAGTAGAGTAGCCAACTGAATATGTAATTTAAATACTTGAATGAATCATGTCATATAGTCATATGTCTACAGTAATAATTTCATATTTCTTATAGGACAACTGTCCACTCGTCCCTAATCCAAATCAAGAAGATAATGACGTCGATGGGCCAGACAGATTAGGAGATGTTTGCGATAACTGTCCTACTGTGCCGAATCCAGACCAGTTGGACTCTGATGGAGATGGTGTAGGTGACGCTTGTGATGATGACGGAGATGACGACGGTAACATCTTTTTTTATCTATTTTAGTATTCTTATTTTCCGAAAATTAATACCAGTAAAAAATTCAGGCAGGAAAATAATAAATTCAAATTATTGATTTTTGCAGCTGCTATTTTGCAGCCCTATTTGCAGCTGCACCTTTTCTTCCTCCTACAAGATACATTTCTAATGTATAAATATATATAGCTGTGAATCTAAGGAGAATGCTTTTGTCATTCGGAATATTTTCGGTAGGCTTTAAATAAATATATTTAATGTTTGTGCAACTTAATTATAGCTTGTTACTTTAAAATAGGAACTTCAAGGTTGTTTCTAGTCCCCTACCATTTGCTATCGTCATTCGTGTTGCCATTACCGTGCAATATTTATTTTCTTCATCTCATTTTAGACTGTAGTTCAGGTCAACTTTCATCCGTGCGCTTTTCATGAAGTGAAATGAGCTAAACGGAAAAGAATCGGGGGAAACAATTCAGCGACTTGATTTTATTTTTGCGGTAGCTCTTGTTCCCGTGGTTACTAATCAAACCGGAAAATAATCTTGAAGTTCCTGCTTTAAAGTCACAGACTATAGTCAGATGCGCAAGAAGCCATCTTTAGCTACTCCTCAAATTATAGCGAAATAATGTCTTGCTCTGCACTAGGAATTCCGACTGCAGTCGATAATTGTCCGCATATTGCCAATGGTGATCAACAGGATTCCGATGACGATGGTGTTGGTGATGCTTGTGACAACTGCCCTTCAGTTGCCAATCCCTCTCAGGTATGTTGGATATTCGAATATTTTAATTATAAACCTAGAATGAGATTTCCCCTTAAGGCTTCTTTCAGGCGATTGTTTGTAGTCATAAAGCTCGGCAGTTTAAGGCACAAAAGTCATTAACTTCATGCACACCTGTTTAACAGGATGTAAGCCGTAGCTAATCAGGCAAGAGAAAGTTACGCGAGTCTTAGATCAACTTGGCATAAAGTTGAAAAGTTAGAACTTTTAGACAAAATCGTTAAACCAGTTTTTGTGAGATAGCAAGATCTGGCTGCTTAACAACGAAGTTCGGCTTAAGCCTGTTGTGATTTTAAAACTACCGTGATAATGAAGATGAATGGGTAAAATCAGCTGGTGAATGAGGGAATTCATTATATTCATATTAAAAGTTAAAATAATCTCACTGTTTATTGCTGCTATATTTTGCTATCTAATTCATTCACTTTATCACACTATCTTTTATTCTGAAGAAGAGATTTTATTCAGAATTTTAACTGAAATCATATTATTCAGTTCCAATAATACAGAAAAAATATGTCATTTGAGTAAACCATTTTTAAGTTTTATTTCGAAAGAAAGGAAGAAAAAAAAGCTTCAAATAAGAAACAGGTTCAGTTCAGAGAATTTAAATATTCATGTCAAAAGTTTGTAATTATATAATGACTTTCACGCTCTTATAAGAACAGATTTAACAAAGCACGCGTATTTCAGATTTCAATATAAAAACTGATATATACAGAAAATTTCAGAAAGGTGTCAGAGAACGAAATTTGACATAAACGTTTACCTTCTAATCGATTCATTTATTACGTTAAAACGTATGGCTCTTAGATGGGTTTTTAAGAGATATTTAGTCACTCAAACATTTTAAAGCATCCTCTATATATTATCAACAATTTTAATTAGAAGTTTTTTACTTTTCCTTTGTGAATGAAATATAGAAGTTAAATGTAAACGCTTTTTTAAAATCTATTGTACATTATTTTAAGCATAGATTGCTTAATTAATGCTAAATTAATTTTCTTGCATTAAGTTCTTAGATTTCTAGCAGAAAACAAAGCGTTTCGAAACTCATTAATTTCTGTTTTCTTTTTCATATATTTTTTCCTCTTATGCTTATTCTCGCAGATATGAAGTATTTCTCTGTGTAAAGGAAACACTGTACATTACGAAGGGCAGAGAAGAGATACTTCTTTTCTAGTAGTTGCTCGATTAACAAAATTTATCTTACTTTATTCATGCCTCGAAAGCGCCAATTAAGCTGCGTCTTAGATTTATATTTGGCATTGCTCTAAGGTACAACATTTTGAAAGATATTCGGATTTTTATGAAATATCGTTTGTTTTTTTCTTTTCGTATTTCGATTCAAAATCTAAAATTTTGCTGAATCGAGAAGTTTAGTTGAGTAAACGTAACTAAGCTTTCTCGATATTTGATAGTATCGTTTTTTTGTAAACGAATTTTCTTGTTTTCTTTTTATATAATCTGTAATTTTGGTTTAGTAGTCTGAACAACGTTCACACATTTAATCTGATTTGCTTAAAAGATTTAATTTAGAACAATTTTAATAAATTTTTAGGAAAAATAATTGATTTATAACCTGTAACAACTTTCCTTCATCTTAAAATAATATTTGTTAAGCATATTTAAAAAAATAGAATTTGTAATTAAAACTTTATATATATATATATATAATGAAAAATTATCATAAAAATTCAATCCTTAAATTCACATTCATCGTGAAACAACAAGAAATAAAACATGGCAGTATAAAACTAGATCTAAAACCAAAAATAATATATAACGCGCTGTAGAGTAAAATAATCGCTACATAGAATAAAAAGTAAAGTAGAGAGCAAATAGAAACAGAAAAGTATTAAAATCTAAAACGGTTAATACATTTCTTGTAACACTTTTTCAATCGTTACATGCACTCGTCCTCTTGAAATTAATTTTTGCAAATGGGCTTCATTATAAACTTTACTAAATTTACAAAGCTTTCAAAGCGTTATTTAGTAAGATTTGCATTACGTATTCTTTATCAAATTTTAAGAAAACGCATATATATATATATATATATATATATATATATTTTCTATTTAGGATATATATGTATATTTAAACATTAAAAATTGTTGGCTAAAAATTCTAATTTGGCAGAAGATTGAATGCAATAATAATGTCGAATCTAGATTTACTTGCGAAGAAATACGAGAGAAAACATGTACTGTATTATTATTCTTTTCTGTGACACATCGTCTCCTTGTTTTGCTTGTTCGACTTCATTAAAGAAATTGGACGTTTTAATATATTAAATACGTTAAATTAAAAATAAACTGTCAGAAGCAATAACTTCGGAATGCGAATTCGGTCGAAAACGAGATCGCAGAAGGACTCCTTCGGCTACAACGTCAAGCTCTTTGCATATTCTTTAGGCTCATTATGCGCTTGTCCATGTCTTGAGTTTACATGCAGTCATAATCTTTTTACATTTCGGCTGCAACACAGTGTTGCCAGATCATGCGATATTTCGCAAACGTGCTACTTTTGCCAAACATGTGCGACTAAAATTGATGTTCATGCGATTTTGCGAAATTTTTGCTACTTCACCATTTCTTTAAGCTAATTTTTGCGATTCAAAAGTTTTCAAGTCGAGATAATTAGAATCTCATAAATTTAAATAAGTCATTCAAGTAGAATGGAATTTTCACTGAAAAGAATTAACAATTAAAATAAAGCAATGAATAATGAATTGGAAAAAAATAACGACCAGCTTAAAAAAATTAGTACAAAAACGCTAACAAGCCAAACTTGAGGAAGTATTTAACAATGGATAAGAGCAAATTAATTTTAAAATAAAAATATAAATTTATTTAGAATTCATTAAAAGTAATGATTAAAGAATGAATAATTAGTACTTTAGTTCTCAAATATTCGTCAGACCTATAATATACGTAATTAAAAGTACTAAGAATCGAATTACAGTCCGTAACTTACGAAATCAGACGTCAGAGATCATATGGACATACGTAACTATGACGTCACACAAATCATCATGTGATAGCTGACGTTATGTGCTACTTTTTTCAACTTTTCGATTCTTCTCCTGCTACTTTAATTGAAAACTTTCCGTCAACACTGCTGCAACAAGCAATAAATTTCACGAGATATTCATCACTATCTAAATTACCTCTTGATTTTAAATTATTCTGACTAACTATAGATTAATGCACTTTTCTCAGCAAATTAAAGGTAAGCTGAGCCAAGCTCAGACGATATGTATTTCTATCGAATCAATAGGATTTATTGAGCATAATCCCATCGCAAATCAAGAATTATCTGTACATTTTTCTTAACTAGAGTTTCTAAGAAAAGGAAATACTTGCTTTAAAAACAGTTCAGAATAAACAAATGGTATGTTTAACAAAAAAATAACAATTAGGAAAACCGTGTGCCGTACAGCTAATAAGACGAAAAAAGTGTATTCTTCTGATTTAAGATTTTCCTCCTTCAATAAAGGAGAGTAGAAAAAATAAGATAAAAATATCTAGAAGTATAGTCAATGAATGAAGTGAAACGAAGAAATGTTAGAGAAAATTTATTTTTAGTGCCTTGTTTTTATAATAGATAAACAGAGTACAAATGCTTACTCAGAAGATAATGCGCCACGAGCAATTTATTTCTTTTGTCATTTAAATTTCTTCGAGCTGAATAAAGCTTTGCAAACAGCTCTTGAATGGGCTTTAAATGTAATTGTTTGCATGTAAGTATCATATATTCTTGATATCTTTTTTTCTTATTAATAGGAAGAAATAAATGTATTTCCATTCTTTTCCAGTAAGTATACTTGAAAGAACTCGAGATAGGAGAAAATATGGGCTGAAGTATATGCATTTTTATCATTTAATGCTACGCATTATGAGATGATCAGAGACATTAAAAAATATTGTGATTTTTTTATATTCGTGGATATAAATTATTTCGAGGTAAAAGAACCATATATATATATATATACGTGTGTGTGTGTGTGTGTGTAAGTTATAAAAAGTATTTTCCCTTTTGCAAATCTTTCATCAACATGTTTCTGTTTTGCAGAATGAGGAGCTGCTTTAATTCAAATTAAATATGATACTTAATCATTCCTTGCTGTGTGTTTTGTATTCGTATATTAACATCTGGCGCCATGAAATAACAAAACCAGATGAAGAAGGAAGTCTTGAAACGTTACTTAAGATTGAGACAAAGAGCAGCTTTCCGAAACAACAAAAATACCTGAAAATGGTTTAAGAATGCAAAAGTAGGTTGAAATTTTCTTAAACACGAAAGCAATGTCACAACTAACAAAACTGCTCAGAGATCAACATTTATAGCAGTAAGCATGAGCGGTAAGTTGAGTATCAGAGAAGTGTGCGATAGACTGGGAACTAAACTGACTGACGCTTCAATCACCTCTCACTTTTAATAAAGAACAATGGACAGAGGAAATTCTGCAGTCGTCTGAGAAACGTCTCCTGTAGCTTTGACAGCGCTCTTTTTAAAACCTTTCAGGGGTAATGCCCTCCAATAACCACCTACAGGATCTCAGCCCATTTTCCAGTTCTTCGGCTATGGTATAATTGAGAGGATTCAATGAAATCTGAATTTAGTTAAGGCTCTATTGCAGACTCTTGTACTGTTTAATTGCCTCTTTGTATCTACTGCTTTAGATTTTGATCGATTTTGCGATCTGCGAAATTCAATTTTCGGGTTTCAAATCACATTCTTGCGTCCAACATACTTAAATGAATTTCAAAAGATATTTTAAAACTGTTCTTCTTCCGTTGCTTAAGAACAAGTACTTTCATATTATATAAATAGTTTTAATGTAGTTCCAATGTTATGGTTTTGAATGACATTCTTGCTACCAACGTCATTAAATAAATCTCGAAAGATATCTAGAAATTCTTGCTGTAAATATCATGCAGTTCGCATTTGGTCCTCATTTAATTCTGAATTAGTAATTAAACCTTTCATTTCGCCTGAAAACTCTTAATAATGAAGGAAATTTCGCACGATGCTTGGGCTAGAAGGACATGAAGAAATTTTGTTCTTTCAGGAAACTAAAATGGCGTATTATTTACACTCATGGTCCATAAATTAAGGATAATGCAAAATCAGGCAAAGGAACAGTTAGAAGCAAAACAAATTTGACTTATTTGTAAAGCTTATTTTATTAAACAAAAGGGGGGCCCACCAGCGGCCGAGCGGTAAAGTCGCTGAACACTGGTAGTTCGGTCCGAGGTTCGAATCCCGCGAACGGGCTGGCTGCATGGGCGTTTTCGTGGTTTTCCCCATGTGTAACGTGTATACGAGCCAGTTTCCCTTAGAACGTCCTCCAAGAAGGCATCCCTACCCTTAGGCAGATAGCCCTCGAGGCTTTGCCATAATCACACACACACATTAAACAAAAGGTAAAGAGCAAAAATAGATGCTATATGTTTGATATTATTAAAACAATTAGCGATTTTTTCTTCCTGGCGTAAATTACAAAAAAAGACTATTTACAAAAAACCAGTATTACATGGTTGGTATGATTGTTAATACATTGTATGTCTCCCAGACGATGCAATACAGTTCGTACAACGTCTAGGCATGCTGAGTATCAAATTATCGATCTGATTGTGGGGGAGATCTTACACCACTCAAAAAGCAATGCTCTCCGAAGTTCCGGTAGACATGTAGGAGGAGGCTGACAGGCTGCAACGCGTCGGCCAAGCATATCCCACACCTGCTCTACTGGATTCATGTCCGGTGAGAATGCTGGCCAGTCCATACGGGTGATATCTTCCGATTGAAGGCATTCGCTTACTCTGTTTGCACGGTGAGGACGGGCGTTGTCAGCCATAAACACAAATTCTGCGCCATGGCGCCCTGAAACAAGCGTTCATGTTGTTCCAGAATGACGTCCCGATAGATTTGGCTTGTCATTGTTCCAATTTGAACATGCAGGTCAGTTCTGGAACCCAGAATAATTCCAACCCAAACGAGCACTCCTGCACCACCGTAACGGTGTCGTTCAATGATGTTTTCCTGGTGGTAACGGGTACCTGCCGGAGGAGCAATGGTGATGTCATCGTGAACTATTATCCAAACGCTCACCTCCACGTTCATTTTCATCCACTCTAGGCTTTGCTAATTTTGAGACAGAAGTTCGGATTTCCATAATGCTCTAGTTTTCTTATGTAGCTTTAAAATAATTATTTTAACTGAATGGTAAATGTGGATTTATTCTACATAGCGCTTCTAGAGTATAGCATCCGTTTAGTTAACACATAAACAACGAAAGTAGTTAATTGAATAAATCGTTTTATTCGAAAAGTATATATTCTGGGTTATTATTCTATACAGACATCCATAACTTTGAGAAGCATGTCCATAGTCTATTGGCAGATGTAGCTATTTTTGTTAGCAAAGCGCTTTCCATACAAAAATCTTGTTTAATTCTGTGATAACTTGGGGGTCACAGACGCTCGATCCTTCCAAACCTTACACCGAAAACTCTAAAACCGCTGTATGACATGCAGCAATGCCTTGTTTTAAGCATAATCAGTTTTTTTTTTTTTTTTTTTTTTTTTTTTTTTTTTTTTTGAAAGCATTTTACTGACAATGAAAAGTTCCTACCCATTATATCAAATTTTTGCAATTTATGCAATACTTCGTGGAATGTATTATAGGAAAAGTTATGCATTATTCTCTAAATTAGTTTAAATTATTCCGCATTTATGTAATAATAATTCGGCATTTATGTAATAATAATTTCCATTTTTCTTTTTGTATTTTATTTCAGTTGGATACAGATAAGGACAATATAGGGGATGACTGCGACAGCAATATTGATAGGTAAGTCGATATTTATTTTGCACATTTCATTTCAATTAGCTTATTAAAAATCACAACATTGGTGTAATGATATCTGAAAAACATAATAATTTGCGAATAAATTTTAAAACTTTCTTCACTTTTATAGCTAAGATGTATAATAATTACGAGTTTTCAGCTGAATAGGTTAAAATTAATTTCAGACGTATTGCATTTATCCCTGTATTCATAAATTAAAAGGTATGAAAACTAATATGCACATTTTAATAATAAAATGAAACGTATATCTTTTCTAAAACAAAAAATTAAGAATAAGACAAATACAAGAATCTATAATAATAAATCTCAAGCCATTGGAATTTCAAAATTTGCAAAATTATATATGGAAAGTGAGAAAAACGTTAGAGGAGTAACGACATTATACATGTTTCAAAATGATTATACGATTAGGTATCTTTTAGATCTGCCGTTGACTTATGTTTAAAGTTTATGAAACAAGTCAAATGCAGCAAGCTTTTAGACCCTATGAAAAGTTTGGTTACGTGATATATTTAGTAAACATAGGGAGAATTTTTTTTTATGTATAGACTAATTATTTACACATGTACACGCAAAATAAAAAAATGAGCAGTCTTTTCCTATTAAGATTAAAAGAAACACCATGAACTAAAATTTTTCAGAACCATATCAAAATACTATTAATAAGTGCTACGGATATTATGGTTTTGATTCAAAATATTAAGAGTTTTATTTTATATAAACGAAATTCTAATACACAAACTTTAGTTGAGAATGCTGTTTTTAGAAACAGGAATATTCAATCTTCTGAAATTAAATCCTTGTATGAACATTAAAAGTGATTACTTTGCTTCGTGGCAAAATATTGATATAAATTTAAATATTTGTTTTCAGAGCAAGTTTTGCATATTATATACATGCTTTTTTCTAACGACATTTAGGTCTTTATTTGGCTGGATAAAAGACAACTTACCGACTGAAATTTTTCTTGAAGATGACACGTACGAAAATTAATATTTCGTTAAGGTTTTTCAAAACTTTCGAATACGGTTCTCTAAATTGAGAGAGTAATACGCTTATCGGTACACCGAGTTATCAGCGAGAGGTACAGGGTGCGGCAGCGTTCATAGCGTGATTTGACTTGCGTAGTACAATGACGTACTGCATGAATGCGAGCCAGCTTGTGCCGCATTCGTGTACTAATGAGCTGCCATTTCGAGTGTGACAGTTATATGGATCGGTGGAGTGCACAGCATCGTGCCTTTGCTGTTGAAAGTTATTTCAAGAATAACTACTCTGTTATTGCTACCCTGCGTCTATTTCGGCAATATTTAAACTTGGGACGTCATGGTAAAGTTCCAGATGGGCGTACCAATGCAACAGACATTTCCAGGTAGATTAGTTTCTCGTTTTGGTAACATTTCCTAGCCGCCTCGCTCACCTGATCTTTCCATGGAGGTAGGAAAGGAGGTAGGACTTACATCCTACCTCCATGGATCTTTCATGTGCAGACGTTTTCCTTTGGGGCCACCTTAAGCAAGAAGTTTTTCGAACACGTTGTGCTACCATTCCTGAGTTGAAGGATCGCATCAGAACTGCCGTCGGCAATGTCCCAGGGAATACGTTACGCCGAGTTATGGCAGGCTTCCAACGCCGCCTAGATGAATGTGTTGGGCAGTGTGGGCATCATTAAGAGAGACCATATCAAAAGTACCCCGCAATGACTTACACATTAGTAAATGGCATACCTTTAACTATTAATGACATAAGAGGTAATAAATAAATCACAGTTACTGCCTCATGGTGTGTTTTTAATATCCTGCTATAAACGCTGCCGCACCCTGTACATCTCATTAATTCCTTATATTGCTCTATCTTAGGGGGACCGCAGGGAAAGATGAGCTCCAAATGTTCTAAGCTGATGACTGGAGAGATTACCTCTTATCTCAAAATAAAAGTGATCAACAGTAAATAATTATTCCTAAGACTTTATAGAGGGATCAGTATCATTGGAGTGGGATTCTTTGTGCCGTCACTAGAAATCAAGCTCGGATCTTCAGTTTATTGAATTGAAATGTTGACTGTTATACCACAAGAGTACATTAGAGAAATTTCTTACAAAATTATAGAAACTGACATAACCTTAAAGCCTATTTTACATAGTTTATTCTTTAAACTGGAATTTTGGAAAGAAATTCTAAGATTTCTTAATTGAAACCAACCAACTGTGACATTTTGCCATTAAATGTTTTTGAAACGCTGTGCATATGCGTAATATATACATCCAAACAGCTGTCAGTAGGAAATACTCAATACTGAAATGAGCCTGTAATCATAAGAAAATTAAAAACCCTAAAATCTCAGAAAATAGTTCTTTTTAAGAATAAGATTGAATAAAGTTACAAACGAAGGCCATGTGCTCTTTGCGAAAATCTTGTAAAAAATTTAGACCCAATAAACAGGACGATTTCAGACTTTCTCTGCAAACTTTAATAAAAAGTAAGGAATACTGAAACAGAACTTTTTCCGCAATGAATTTGTTAAATTTTTTTTATATTTTTCGGAAATAAGAAACGTGAAAACTAAACTGAAGCTCGAATTATGCATCTTCCAATTCCAAACTGGAAATATTAATTATTTGTATCCAATAGAGCATCGTTTCCCCAGTTGTGTTCCGAAAAGAGTCACTAATTATTTAACGAAAAATTATGAAACTGAGATCAGATATTATAGAAGAATTGTCTGATTTTAGATTTAACGCAATTTAAAATAACTCTGAAAAGAAATTTAAAGAGGAAACATAAAACAAAGTATTTTAATCGCAAGTAATCCCTTAACAAAACAAACTACTTTTGTGCGAGACAAAGTTTTCACATTACGTTGCAGCAAAATCCAAATTGAGAAATCGACTTCATCTGCTACAAGAATTTAGGTTTCAAACAATGTGTATAACACGATTCGAAGTTCGAAGAGTCAAATACACAGTCTTTCTAAACTAAAGATTTTTAAATCTTTTTTCATACAGTATAACTCCGCTTAATGTGATCGCGGTTAATTTATCATTCCGATATTATTATCGAATTGCCGAAACTTTCTGCAGATTATTTTTTCTTTATTTATATTTTTTCCAAAAATATTTTCCTGGAAACATTATAAGGTATTTCTTCCTCCTTTCTGCATGCCTTCGCGGTGTAACGGTATCCGAGAGATCCAGGTTCGAGTCCCGGCGAGTGCAGTGCTCATTTTTCATGTCTAAATCATCCAAAAATTCTAACGTCTCTATAACACCTAGGCCAAACTGAGGTTGTTTTTTTCCTAATCTAAATATTTTCTCTTTCAGTGAGGGATGCTCTCCGAGTATTAAGATTAGAGGTTCAGCATCAATCAAATAATTCCCAGGAACGTTATGAAGAATTCATAAATGAACTTTTGCATTAAAGAAATTGTGAATTGTCTATAAACAAACTTTTGCATTTTCTTAATTAAAATGACGTAAAAATATATCTATTCATATATTTCTAGTTATATTTATGGCAAGTTAATTAAATTTTATTGCTCTTTTAAAGAGGATATTTTTTTCGCCGTTTAATGTTATCATTCGGTTAGTGTTATCTAAAACAAGGGAGGACAAACATGATCACATTAAGCCTTGTCTAATGTATTATTTGTTTCCTTCAATTTGTTTCGTGCGTCCTTTTTGTAAAATTAAAAACATTTCTTTTATAGTTATGATAATAAAAATTGGAATAAATGTTTATTTCATTTACCTAATTTAGCGTTATTATTTATTATAAACAAAGTCCAAATTAAAAATGTTAAGAACTTGAAAAGTATTTCGAGATAAGAAAGGTGTGGGAAACATTGAATTAGAGCATTCAGAGAAGGTTGCAATAATTACTTACCCTCTTCCCCATTCGAAAATCGACTGAATAAAGGCACGACACTTTAGTCGACGAAATCCGCACAGTTGTCATGAACCAAATTTTGCGCATTTGTCATCAATGCTTGGTGCTGTCATCAACCAAATTTTATCTATATAATCTAGAGATTTTATATTATTTTTACTCGAAAAATTGTGAGAAATTAATTCTCACGAATACTCACGAAGATTCGAACGATGGATCTTTCATTTGCCAGCTTGATATATTAACTATTTACACCTAGAAAAAGCAACGGGGGGAGGGCGATGATGCCTTAAAAATGTATTTACTTTTATTTTCTATTTCCCTAGCACTACGATCATATTGAATTCTTTTATTTTTCACAAATGGTACAGAACTGTATTTTGTTATTATCTTGAGCTAATTTAGTGATATTATTTTTAGTATTTATATTCATCTCCAAGAATTTTCCTTGGGTTTAGATTTTTTCTACTCGATTCCTTCATTATATTTCTACTAGAAATTTCACTTTTAGGTAATTTCAAAATGCTTCTCTTGGTAATTTAATGCTAGAAGGTTTGTTCCTAGTAAGCTAATTCCAAAATTCTTCTCTTTGTAAATCATTTAACGCTAAAAAGTTTGTTCCTATAGTAAAACAACTCATCAGCCTAAATATCTTATTATACTACTACATAGCATAAACGTAATCAAATTCCAAATAGAAAAGCCTTCTTCTAAACGCATTTGTAGAATGCTTCTTCTAAACGCATTTGAAATCTCTGATGTACTTTCCATAATTAATTTTCCTTCTTTTACCTTCGGTTGAAATTTTATTTATTTAGTTACTTACAAAAAATTATTTTACTAAAATAACTTTTCCTAATAAGATTATTTAGTAAAAGGATTAAATCAAATTAGCTCTTTAAGGTGTCTAGAGTCTTTTTTCAGAAAGAGTTAAACAATCTATAAATCTTATATTTTGTTTGCTTCGCTTTTAGCACGAAAGAAATCTGAATTTCACATATTTCTGAACATATTTCGCAGAAGGTTTTAACCATTTCTGGGAAAAAAATAGTAAACCGAAGAATATTTTTTATCAAAGGAAAAATTATTGCAATATAC